GTTTCCTATTTTCTAGTCTTGATAAATTTGGTTTCGATTCCCAATTTATTTCCTGGATTAAACTCCTATATGCCTCTCCATCTGCCTCTGTACACACTAATGGCATTCGATCTCCCCCTTTCTCTCTCCAACGTGGTACTCGCCAGGGGTGTCCTCTTTCGCCGCTGTTGGTCAATATAGCCATTGAACCTCTCGCTATCTGGCTCAGAAGCCATGATAGAGTTGAGGGCATTACGCGTCATGGCATGGTTCATAAACTGTCTCTATATGCTGATGACCTTCTTCTAATGATCTCGAACCCCTTATCCTCTCTCCCCCCATACTGTCGATTTTAGATCAATTTGGCCGTGTATCAGGTTACAAACTAAACATTCAAAAGAGCGAAGTATTTCTTGTAAATAAAATGGCAGAGGCACTTCTCCAATCCCTATTCCCCTTTAAAAGGGCTGTGGAGGGGTTCAAATACTTGGGGGTGTTTGTTGCAAACTCTTTTAAAGACCTGTTCCCTAAAAACCTTCAGCCTCTACTAGATAAATGCAAAGCTGATATGTCTAGGTGGGCCTCCCTTCCCCTGTCTCTTGCGGGTCGCGTCAACCTTATAAAGATGGTCATCCTGCCAAAGTTTCTTTACCTTTTCCAACACATCCCAGGGCGCATCAATAAATCTTTTTTCACTGATCTTGATAAGCAGTTGAATGCGTTCATCTGGAACAACAAGCCTGCGCGTATTAGAAGGTTGTGTCTCCAACTCCCTAAATCAGAAGGGGCCTGGCGCTCCCCAACTTTCGCCACTATTACTGGGCCTCTAATATTAACAAACTCCTCTATTGGGCTAACTATAAACTTTCACACCCCTGCCCACCTTGGGTACATATCGAGCTGTCATCTTCTGCTCCTTTGCACTCTATAATCTGCTCTCAGCTCCCTGTAGCGACCCCTACAAATTTGAGTAACCCAATTGTTACTAGCACCTTAAGCATTTGGCTCCAATTCAGGAAACAGCACGGGTTACATAGAGCTTCGGTTCACGCCCCAATTTCAAACAATCACCTATTCTCCCCATCGTGTACTGACCCGGCCTTCCGCGTTTGGTCGAACAATGGTCTCGCAACGCTTAATGACCTTTACGTCCCTTTCCTTTGAGTCCCTGTCAGTCAAATTCCGAATCCAAATCAGGCACTTCATCCAAAAGCAATTTCCCCATTTTCCTAACCGCCCCCCTCGAATCGCCAATTGATACATTTCTCACACTCAACCCTGATCAAACGCGCTTGGTTTCAGTTCTCTATGGTCAGATTGGTTCCCTGAGCCCGGACCCTATGGTGCCTCTTAAGGAGCTCTGGGAGCGTGATCTAGGTAGCAACATTTCCAATGATCAATGGAGTGACGTTCTCAACCTAGTCCATACATCATCTATCTGTGCTAGACATGGCCTACTCCAGTGCAAGGTGCTCCACAGAGCTCACTTTACTAATGCTAAGCTGGCTAAAATGTTCCCGGATCGGAGTGATGCCTGTAACAGATGCAATCAATCCCCAGCTGACCATCTGCACATGTTCTGGACTTGCCCGAGGCTGGACACATTTTGGTCTGACATATTTGGAACCATTGAGCAGGCCTTTAACACAAAGATAGACCCTAATCCTATGACTGCACTGTTCGGCCCTCCTCCATCTGAGAATATGCCCATTACTACAGTATACGCCGTGTCATTGCCTTCACCACTCTATTAGCTAGACGCTCTATTCTCTTAAAATGGATACATGCTTCCCCACCAACACATGATCAGTGGATACGTGATGTCTTACAATGCCTTCAGATGGAGAAGTTAAGATTCTCATTAAAAGATTCTCTGAAATCCTTCCGTACTACCTGGAACCCACTATTAGGCCTTATCAAAGAACTCCCTATCACTTCTGACGCTGAGTCGCAGGTAGCTCTCTGAAAGGAAATAAATTAAATAAAAGTGACCATTCATGTTACTGCTCTTCCGCCATGAGCCTTTGTCTTTTGCCCTAGACTACTCATCTATATTTCCTTTTCCCTCTTAATGAAACCCTTTTTCCTCACCAAGACGTCAATGTTTGCTATTATTTTCTTCCCTTATACCGGATTCTTAGACTGTTTTCGCTCTCGATTTTATTTTTTATTTGTATTAGTATTATTATTATTATTATTATTATTTATGTTTTACTTATGATTTTATCTGACTTATTCAGTTATTTTACCATTTGGGGCCATCCATACCTGTGGGTGGGGGGTGGCGGGGTTAAATGAAAAAAAAAAAAACTGTAAACAAGGACTCTCTACGAACCCTGAAGTGAATATGGAGCAATACATCACTTTATTTGATTTTCAAGGAGGTCCTTTGTAATGATCCCCATTGTCTTAATTTGCTAATTGTAACATATGTACTGTTTTGTATTGATTATTACTGTTCTTACTTCTTGTCATTTGCTGGATTATGACAATAAAAAGTTTGCAATAAAAAGATTTGTAAAAAAAAAAAAAAAAAACGTTCTTAGAGATTAAGCAAGGTTACGCAGGACATTAAATCGTTTTTTTTAAACACCTCGCTGTATCTTCAGAAATAAATTGATGTTAATTAGGTTAATTAACATAACTGGATTTCAGTGAATCAATTCCAGAAAACAAATCTTGCTTTCAGGCCCCTCGATCAGTAAACACACTTCTGATTGGCCTTAATGTACTCTGCCGTAGCTTCTGTTCATTGAGTGGGTGTTTTAAATAGAAACATCTGTCCTGACAGCTCCGTCGACCACAGCTCGTGACAGGGAGAACGATAAACATTGATCACATCCTTCTCAAGTCTGTGTTAGGTTTCCAGGGATATTGACAGTGAAGGTTAATGGCCGTATCCATTTCAACTGGACGGTGTTTTATGCATGGGGTTTACAGTGAAAAAGGCAAATGTCCAACAGTATTTGATTGTCTATTGATCTGAATTGCGGAAAAGCTCCCTGACCTCTGATTGAGTAATTGGGTGTCCGTTTACATAAATACCAAGTGGAAGTCGTCTGCATCCTACATTTCCACAGCCTGAACAGCCCAAGGGGATTGTGGGAGATGTATTTAAGATTTAAAAAAGTAGGCTGTCTGAAATCATTTTACCATATGCCTCATGTGCTCCAGTACAAAAAGCAGGATGAATGTGTTGTGGGTGGAAATAAATAAGTGGAACTAAATATTTACTCACATTTTTCTCAGGCTGGCATCAAAGTGTCTGGATGTATTCTACTGAGGGACACTCTTGTTATGTGGAGTTAATCCAGCTGTCACATTTATAAATCTAGTAATTCTCTGTCAGGTAGTGACTGCACTGAGCTGGATACCGGCCTGATTCAGATCACATGCCTGCACAGTTTGCCTTTTTCTGTGCAGATATACTGAAAACACGTTTAAATTACCGTTATTTGCAGAGGTCTGGGGTAATCATTTATATGAAAGGCTTCTTCAACAGCATGTCTTTCAGGAACATTCATATCTTATGAATCAACGCAATCGAGAGAAAAAAAAAAACGTCCTTCTGCAGCAATGAACGAGCTTATTGGCGTGCCTGCTGTTTTTCTACGTGTACTCACTGCCTTCAGTATTGATTTGGTTCGCTGTGAAACAAACTGCACAGAGACAGGAGCAGCACAGGCAGTGTAAAAGCACACATACACACACACACAGGTACACTTCAAATATTTTAATAAAATATAGCCATTTTAAAGTCTTGGAAGATATAAAAAAAGTAGCATCATTTCTGCCCAAGAGAGGCTGTCTGTTTTAATCTCCCATGGACACGCACACACCCCTCATTAACTTGTGGATGGTTCACTAAGCTGCTTCATACTGTATAACCACTCACTGCCGGCAGACAGAGACGGGGTATAATTGGTGAAAAGGATTTAAACAGCTGGACTCATACGGGTGGCTGAAGCTGCTCAATTTCCTCACTCACTGTGACCAGAGAGATAATGCGCACATGTGTGTGTGTCTGTACGCCGTATAAAACCAGATTTCTGACCTTTAGCCCTCAGGATGGAGGTTTCATTCATTAATGTAATGTATATTCAAACATATACAGTCTATAGGACTACTCCTATGCTAAAATATGGCATTACAGAGTAGCCTAACCTGTGCTGTGAATAACAATATATGACACATGTGGCTGACACTTGAATTGACAGCGCCACAAGCATAAAGATAACAGGAGTGGGAGACTCTTTGGAGTACATGAGGTTAACTTACATCCAAAGTTATTTCAGAAAGCTGCCAGTTCCCACTGCTTTGTAATGGACAAAGTGTGGATGAAAGTGTGTGTTTGTTCAAAGCACATCTGGTAAATCACACAGTAAAGCTCCTTAAAATTGAGCTTCTGGATCCGAATAGTTTAAGTCCTGTGTTGGAATCAGCCTTTTGAGGCCTCCTGATTTCTGCCTCCCGCCCTTACTGCAGTTAAAACATTTGTAATGTCCTGTGGATTTTTGCAGTCTATGTGTTTCGAATTGAGCTGATTAGCCATCCACCATCTGCTGGGCTGTGTTAGGAGAGCAGCTCGTTATTTGCCTGTTGTGTCTGTGTTGAAGTCGAAGTTCCTCTACAGCTGTCAGGCAAAGCTGCAGGGACTCTTCGTGTGCGAGCAGCGGGGAGCAGATGGAGGATGCAGTCTTACTGCACACAAGTGGCAGAGTTTTTGGCATCTGTCTGACGAAGAATAAGCTGTCCTCCGGCCAATCTCAAGCTCCAACTGTGATAGTACAAAATACATCTGCTTTATGTATGATAAGATCATCTCTAAAGCGCTGTGTGTCCAATGTGAAATAAAACTCATCACCGGAAGGTCATTGCTCAACATCCAGCTTGTGTGGGTCCAGCCTGTGGCGACAAACTCATTAAATCTGTTCCCTTAATGCTTTAAAATTGATATTGTTTGCCCCTTTGTGTGTGTGTGTTTGCGTCAGTGTAATGTAATGTGTAATATTGTCTTTCAGGACCTGGTGGGCAGCGCTCCGCCGCAGAGGAACTGGAAAGGAATAGCTATCGCCCTGCTGGTCATCCTCATCATCTGTTCCCTGATCGTCACCTCTGTAATCGTGCTGACCCCTCGTACGTACCCCCCGTACACACACACACACACACACACACACACACACACACACACACACACACACACACACACACACACACACACACACACACACACACACACACACACACACACACACACACACACACACACACACACACACACGGTCTATCACACATGTACGCTATCATTTTGATGTGTTCCTCCAAGGATGCCTAAACCTCTTAGCTGACTGTTATTTTGTTAGTAGAAAATGCTTTAGAAATGTGCAACTGGCATAAAGGTAACAGCTTTATTGTCAACTGTATTGTCAATCTTTCAGTTTGTGTGTACAGACAGAGAGATCTAAATACCGTTTCCCACAATCCCGAGGAATACAAATATAAAAATATGTATATATACACACAATCAACAGACACATTTGTACATATGCACACATTAAAGACATAAATAAAAGCACAACAATCAATATATACAAAATAACAGACACTTCTGCCTTCCACAATTTACATCAAATGCATGTTCACGTCAGCGTAGGAAGTTGTTTTTCCTTTTATGGAGCACAGCAAAAAGAAGGGTTTTAGAGGTCTGTGTGATGCATGGTCGTCTGGGGTTCATGCCTCAGACCAAAGTTTCTAGCAGTTTTTCTATTCTCCACATCCACAAACCTTCCCTAACCTCATACAAACTAATGTTGGCAAGTGTGTAAAGCAAGAATTCAAAATATTCTTTTATTTAGATGTAAAAGAAATGTTGCAACTTTCATCCAAAATCACCAAAGGCCCTTGTCATGGCTATAACCTTTTTACAATACAGTGTGCCAAAGTTAGTATTGTAGATTCATGGGAACATTTCGGAAATGTGTGAAATTGCCCTTCTTTGTAACCTTGAACACAAAAACCCTGTATTCTCACCAAATGTTCATCAAGACTTCACATCCAACTGAATATAGTTACAATCTGTTACGTTTCTGAGATAACAAACCAACGACTGAGATGTACATGATTTCCCTGAACAGTGTCTTCACTGTGCTATCAGAGTATACATTTATTCTTCACAAAGCTTTGAATTAACAACAACACATTTCACACACCACAGATGCAATTCACAAACCACATAATTCTGCCAACAATCTGCCCTTTATAGATTATTTTAATTGTAAAATGTGAAACATGCGTCTGATGGATGGATCATAAAACACATAGCGTGTGAAAATCATCTGATACAGCGTGCCAAATGTTATATGGTTGTTATATTAATTTATAAATGACATTTTTGAGATTGCCTTCTAAAAAACTAACAAATTCTATTGATCGACACGCACACCACACACTGCATGTCTCAGTTTACACTGTTACACACCTATATTGCATACATAACTCGGATTAATCCTCTTTCTCCTCTGCTTGCTCTCAGATCACAGCCAGCTATTCTAATATTCTAACCCTGTTTGAGCGAGTCAAGGTTTAGCAGATGATAAGCTTCTCCTGTGTCTGATTGTTTACGGGCTTTACACAAAGGCGGGGTCATCCTCCCTCTAGGTAATCGGCCTTTTAATGTGTAATTCCATTCAGGCCTGTTTAATGGAGATGATTATGCCGTAATGGCTCCTACTATCTGTCGGTTTGGCACAGCATCAGATATACCATTTGCCTCGTGATGGAAACCTTTCTCCCCTCTCTCTCTTGGAAGACAAGAGAAATGCTCAGATTTTTCAAGCCGTACGCTTTCGAATATCTGACATCGTATTTGCACACTCAGATCTCTCCGCTCAGTCATAACGTGAAGCCTGCCGAAGACCCTGTCAACGGGCTGTGTTATGCAGTAGCTCTCGGCTGTCAGCCATCTCGACAGCTCGTGTCTGACGCTTGTTTCCTGAGTTAAGGTGTAGAAGATACTTAAATGGCTCACACGCGCTCTCTTTCTCACATCCACACTAACCCACTGGTGCACCGCTCTTATCTGCTCCACCTACAGCTCAGCTGTCAGCTGCAGATCTCATTTGGGGTTTTGTTGATGGAAGGAATGGTTCCCCCGCTGCTGAAAAACAAAGCAGGCAGATGTGAACTTACGCTCTCAGATCAATAGTGCAACACCAGAGGCCTCTTTCTTGTTTGTACCTTGTTCTAAATTGCTCGATCTATAGTGGGAAAAAGTTGTTGGAGGTGATTTCTACAGAAAGAAGAGGGTTATAAAATAGTGAGGTGGTGACATTCTCTGGAGCCCCCTGAGCAATGCAACTAAAGAAGAACAAATCAAAGGATTTCTTCAGTGTTTTCCTCTGAAACTAGCAAACTCTGATGCTTGAAGATACTAATAAGATTAAAGGACAACTTCTTCCAGAAAATCCTCCTCCAGACACTTGCATATGAGCTGCTGTACGTCACATTTAATTCATGCTTGTTTATTTATATTTTTCTGATGCGCTCGACAGGTGAAGATGACAGCCTCGCCCTTAAGAAGAAAGTGACTATAGAGGATGTCTTTGGTCCAGACCTTCAAATCCACGACCCAGACGCCAGGTGGCTCAGCGGTGAGTGAACAGTGTGACATTCAGCATCCGTCTCACGTGTCAAAACGCAGAACATATCCAGACACATTATGACAGGCATTTTTATTTTTCCTTAACTCCAAATGTACCATCTGCATTTGAATCAGACCCACGGTTATGATTTGTCCATATACTGTAGATATAGAAGCTGTTTCTTGTGTGTTGAGCACAAAAGGGATGCCCAACTCCAACATATATTCAAATCAAGCACATGATGGCACTTAATCTTATAGTATAGGAAACTAATAAAGGATTCTTAGGACTTTAGTTGCACAGTTGAGAACATGAATCCTTCCTCTGGCATTCAGGTTGGCAGATTTAAAACATCCAGAAGCAAATTGGGAGTGAATTAATCAGTTTATGGTCATATCATTTAGTAACTTTGTTCTTAGTCAATAAACCAACGATCTAGCATAAAGTAGAATTAATAGGAACAATTGGAAGAGTCGTGATAAACATCTGATGGTTAAGCTTTAAAGTGTCTTAGAGGAATCAAATATCTACCTTGAGGGCAATTTGCAGATCAAACCACTGAAACTAATGCTGCTACGTTAGATGTGAACAGACGGGAGATATAAGCAGAAGTAGTTATTGCAGTAACAAGATTTAAATGGGAAAAGAGTTGTGAGGTAGTTTGGACGCTATAACACTGGAGCTTTATGGATACAAATCAGCAGTAAAATATCAAATTCACTTTCTTCAGTCTCACGGAAACCACATTAACAAACGTTTCTCTGCAGGCAAGCCATACAACTTACCTGTTTCTATAGCTACCGGTATGTACCTGCATATAAATGTGAGTATAGGGATCTTTGACGTAGGTAAAATTGTTGTTTACATACGTTTCTATCAATATAGTCCATTATAGCTCTCTCTGTTTTCATGGCAAACATATGCAGCGAGTTCAAGCTCATTTTGTACAAACTACAAATTCAGCATGTGATGCGCTACTGGTTCAGTAATAAGGAATTCATCAAAACAGATGTACAGTAGAGCAGGTCTGCTGTGACCTCTGTGACCTTCACACTAGCTGCCATCTGTGCTCAGAAACGCTGGATCAGATGACTTAGTGCCCTCTGGTGTTCGACAGGAAAAGTATCTGAAATATATGTTTTCATTTGGCTTCTCCATGATGAACTGAATCACTGCTACTGAGTGAATGTCATTTTGCACTGTGGTGAAACAGAGGCATTCTGTGTTGGTAGTACAACTTCTTCTTCTACTACAAATTAATCACACTTTTTATTACAGGTAACGTCACCCATTCATGTTTTATCTTATCCTTGTTAGTTTCTAAAGAATTGAAATATCCCCATATTTTCAAAATGTCTGGTTTTCATCTGAATAAGAAACAGGGATCACTGAAGCGGTTACATACAAATATCATGATTATTGTGTCGTAATGTGTATAAAAAGGTCTTTTAACATCTGGATCTGGTTTTGGGTTCCTATATAAGGCAGATGTTGTTGACCAATCCCTTTTATTTATTTGAACATCTTTTGAGTTATGATGTTTTTTATTGAACAGAGAGATCTTAGCCCAAGGGCCACATGATAGCTTTTTCGATTAGCTTCCCTTAGAGTTCCCTTAGAGAAAACTGAGCCAATTAAAGCTCCAGAAATAGAACCAAAAGAGGATATTTTCCCTTGTCTAATAATTGTATCTTAATACTATTTGGGTTTTCTACTCAAGGTAGATTGTTGCACCTGACAATAATCATTTTCAAATAACTTTGTTTATATAGCACCTTTTCAAAAACTACCGTTACAAAGAGCCTTACAAAGCAACAGCTGGACATTTGAAATCTACCTATGTATTATAATAGTAATCTTTTTGTTCAATGCAAACAAGACATGTTGTTGTTTGTTTCTTCATCCTTATTCATTTCCCTTGAAGTATTAAACATAGACCAAGGTAATAGTGGATTAAAGAGCTTTGAAGTAGCTGTTGTAAAAAACGAAAGGTATTGTGATCATTAGAATTAGTTGCCACTATAAAACATTTTGGTTTTGTTTGAACACAAATCACTAGAAAGAAAGCAACAGCAGCCGTGTGTAGAGACAGTTTATCCATCAATGCTGACTTGCATATAGGAATAACATTATGCAGTTGTTTCTACTAATGACTTCCCATCACACCTGCACACATGCAACCTCACATCTCCTATTTGTATGAGAGACACATGGCGACCTTACATCCGTCCTTTTTTTGCACTGTGCCGACTCTCTCCCTGATTACTTACATTAGCGGCTCATTAACGCATAATTACTTAAGTTCTGTGTCTCCGTGTCCTTCATTCACGAGCGAGATTAAAACGTCCTCAGCACCTGACGAAACTCCGGCAATCAATTGTTTGACATTGCCTCTTGTCAGCTAACTTAATGCAATCAACTCCCATTTGCTGCTAATGACCTTCTGATAAGAAACCCAATGGGACAAGCTCACACTTCAGTAGCCCTCATCAATATTTTGTGGGCTTCTTTCACAGAAGAGTGTAATTGATCCTCGTTGCTCTTTGATCACCGCTTGCCTCAGTAGTCTTTGGACTCACCTCGGAGTTTCTCACACAGTCAGAGCCAAAGACAAAGGATATCAACTTTTAGACTCATCTCTGAAACGCAGCTGCACGTCTTCTGACTGGCCACAAAAAGCGTGACCACATCACCCCAATTCTGGCCTCACTGCACGGGCTTCCAATTTGGTTCCGAATTGATTTTAAACTCCTTTTATTTGTTTTTAAAGCACTAAATGGGCTGGCTCCGGCCTATATAGCTGAACTCCTCCAGCGCTACTCTCCAACAAGAGCTTTAAGGTCTGCTGACCAGCTGCTGCTGGTAGTGCCCAAGACCAGGCTCAAAACCCGAGGGCACCGAGCCTTCGCAGCAGCTGGCCCTAGGCTCTGGAACACTCTGCCCCTCCATGTGAGGTCGGCCCAGACCCTAGGGGTTTTTAAATCTACACTAAAAACACACTTCTTCTCCCTGGCCTTTTAGTTTTTTTTATATATATCTGTTGTAATTTATTGTCTTTTATTGTGATTGTAGTAATGTGTTTTTATGATTGTAGTATTTATTACATGTACAGCACTTTGGCCCGACCAAAAATCGCTTTTAAATGTGCTCTATAAATAAACTTTGATTTGATTTGATTTGATTTGAAACAACGGACTGCTGCTGTCTGTCTGACTCATTTATGTTAACACACTAATATAATGTCCAACCATGAAAACAAGGTATCAGTGCAAAGCTACTCCTTCAAATCTACATTTAGGAAACTAAAGCCCCATTTTTGACAACAGTTACCATTATTTGTTTTTATGACTCTCGCTCAGATCAAATGAAATGGATTTGCCGTCAGTACAGTTCCCATAATGAACTGACATTTTCTCCTTTGGGTCCCTCTTCACTAAGTTTTAGCAATACAGTGAAACAACCGTGCAGCTCTGCAAGTTAAACATTTCCACTGTCACAAAAAGATGTGACAGGAATGATGAGGAGAACGCTAGAAAAGAGGGATTTGTTCCACCTTAGCACATCCTTCAAACAATTGGAAAATGTGCACATTAGAGTTCAATCTTTGAAAAAACTGGCTTTGTATCGCAAAGGTAACCAGAGGAAGAAAGTCTGGCATTTTAATGAGGAGACTTTTCTTCAGAGTAGCACAGCAGCATTATACCAGTTGTTGGAGCCTGGACACATCACACACTCACTTCCTGTTTAGAAGGATAAATAGATACGTAGAGATACTCTCTTTGTCCCTGTGGGGAAATAGGTTTGCAGCACAATCACAAAGCATCTCAACTTCTCAGAAGTCACCTCTAGACATACTCCTACACATACCCATACTTTGCACTTTGCTACAAATTAGCTGTAGGAAAATAAAAGTTAGGAGGGACCAGAGCAGCTCCACACCCTTTTTGACCATGAAGGCCAGGAGCATGGAGCATAGGGGGCAATAAACTAGACATTATAGCTAAAACAGTCCAGATTGAACTTGAGTTCATCAGCTGGACAGAAACACGACTCAAAATGGATCTGCTGTCTAATGGATGTGTCAATAAGCAACTGTTCCCTGGATCAATACATAAGGTTGCAATATGTCATGTGTTGGTTTTACAGCTTGTTTTACCACCCCAGAGTGGCCCAAAAATGTGTTAATGTTTGTTTTTCCAACAGTGTCTGTATTAGTCTGGTCAAATCATTTCCAATAAAAAGAATACATTTTAATCTAATCCAGTGTGAAGAGGAATAACCAAGCCACATTAGTTATTGTCCAACAATAAAACAAGGCCTGTCCTTAGAAATCAGACATCCAAAAGGTTATAACCATAAGCAAAAGAAAAATAGTATTATAAAAGTAAACATTTAATTATACATAACCCAAAAATAATACTTTTGTATCATATAAAAAACGAATAATAGGGTAACAACTTTAAAAATGGTTAGTTACTGCAGGTTTAATAGCAATATTGCTTACTCAAGACAATCGATAAAGGTTGAGAAGGAGGATACACACTTAATAATTTGCTTAGGTATTCAACCTTCGACACAGTTCATCATTTTCTCCTCTCACTGTCTCCTTTCCCATGGCATATGTCTACGGCCTTGGGCATTGCTGCTATCTCTCTTAAGGAGGAGCAGCTTGGGCGCATTGTTGTTGCCAGCCTATGACAGAGCACAAGCCGCCATGAGCTAGTTTACTGTTCAGGGACGTAGGTTCCCTGGCGCACATTCTTTTCTATGGACGAGAGCTCTAGTTAGATTCAGGGTCCATAATTGTTTAGTCTCACTGATAAAGAATGTTGATTATTACACTCCGAACTAGTTAAAACCTGGAGCTACAGAAGAGTTCTTCAGAATTGGTTTGGCAACCGCTGTGTCAACTCGTGACACACCGCCTGTCTTGTCAATTATCCGGCCGTAACTCAAAATAAACCACCAGTGTTTGCCATCAAAGCTCCAGCTCTCCTCGTGCCTCTCTGAGTCCTGTTTCCAATTGCGACAGAAGTTTCCCCCACACCTCCCTGATTGGTTGATTTGTATTTGCCATCACAGACAACGAGTTGCTGTATCGTACAAGGGAAGGAGATGTTGTGAAGATGAATGTTCACACAGAGGAGAGAACGGTCGTCGTGCTGAACCAGTTGTTTGTGAGTATCCTCTAACTCCATCTTAGTTTTACTTCAAGAGTAGTAAGTGGACTCTCTCCTGCTGCTGTAGTGGGTGTTTCTCTCACTAAGTTTTTTTTATTTTCTCCATGCAGGACAGATCCAGAGCCGCCAGGTACCAAGTGTCTCCTGACATGCAACACGTGTTGTTCGCCTTTGAGGTGAAGCCGGTAAGAAACACTGAGAGTGATACCTGGAAACATTTCATTTTGTCCAATTTGCTTTTTTTGTAAGCATCTGTTTGAGTGATATGAAATGCAGCGAAACAAAGACACATGCGATACCATTGTTTGTGTGTAACAAAAACTAAATACAATAACACAATTTGCAAAAATATGAAATGAATGACCTAAAAAGGCTTTTCTTTTGAACAATTCGCACACTGTTGAATTGTCTTTGAATATTTTTCATAATCTAATGGGAAAGAAGATAAGCACATTTTTAATACAGGTTTGGCTGTAATTCCAATACTTGTATTTCCAGTATCAAATGAATTTGACAATGGACTATTTAACATTTGTAGAAATGAGACATAGTGCATGTTTTCACTTTCTAGAGCAGGATGGTTAAGATTTTGCTCATGCATTTGGGGGATAAGCCGTATATTTCGCAATGTAGAAAACAGATGAACTATAAACGTTGGAGCTGAAATGTCTGCTGCAAATGTCAGCTCTCTTAAAATGTGATGCTGTATGTCTTTGCAGATCTACCAACACTCCTATCTGGCCAAGTACATTATTTACAGTCTTGTGACACAGTAAGAACCACTTATGTTGTATCTCTTGAATTGTCTGTTGCTTTTATCCTTTTACTGTCTGTATATAGCAGATGTGTGGACTTGACTCAGACTGAAACCACAGATTTGAATATTCTAAACTTCTTTCGATAAAATAATTACTGCGACTTATAATAAAGCAAAGGGAAGTGTTTTTGATATGTTTGGACCCTGTACTTAAATATATTCATAGGATCTGATGACTAGTACGTTTTCTCCAGTATAAAGCACCTTGCTGTGGAGATTCACAAAAAACGGTGGTTATTGATATTACCCATGATATGCTATTTTTGTTTCCTTACAAGACAATGCGGATGTCAAACATGTGGGTCAAAAATGGCATTACATTTGGTGAAAACTGCATTATATCTTTGAACTAAAAAGTCTTGATTTGGGAATTGCAAAACAATGATTTGGTCCGCCCTGTGTCTGTATGCCTCTCAGATCTGTGACTGGACGCTAATCTGCCCTCAGCCTGACCTCCTGTTGACAGTTCACTACCCTCAGTCCCATTTCCCTGTTTCTCTGACTTTGTGTGAACGCATTAAAGCTCAATTTAGTTTTGTGCGCCGTGTTCAGCCTGCCTGTTTTTAGCCTTTCATCCATCCTTGTCTGCTTATTGCCCCACTGTTCTGTATTTGTAGTGAGCCAAGCAAAGTCAGCTTGTGCTAAAAAAAGGATACGGATGATTGATGACGCCTACATTGAGAGAACAATCCCAAAAAACACACACGACTTCCTTCCTCTGACTGTGCATTCGTATTCAGATGCATACTGTATTGTGCATGTAGCGCAAAAACAGACAAATATGTTATTGTTTTTGTAATGTCTTGCCTCCACAGGGAGACTTGGCCTTTGAAGCCCCCCGAAGTGCACGATGCTGTCCTGCAGTTTGCTGGATGGGGACCCCGAGGCGAGCAGCTGGTAAGGAGGCCGTGCCCCCGAGATTACTCTGTGAATACTGGCACGCTGGTGGAGATCTGTCAGAATTACCCTGGCATCGCAGACGGGGCACACAAGTGATTTATGGTTTTTCACAGTTGAACAGACAATTGTTGTGGCGATAAGAGGTTTATGTGCACTGTAATGACCACTTTAAGGATTTCCAGGCTGAGCTCTCCTTGCTTTGACCTCCATCAATGTCACCGTGAAGCAAATGTCATTTTTTACTTTCATAACTTGGAGACAACACATGAGCTGGTGAGAGCCACAGTGGCAGATGGCCTCGGTGTGGCTCAACCAGGCCTTGGACAGTCTGGGGTTGCTGGTGGGGGGAGCACACACACATGGCACAAACTAGAGTGTGTGTGTGTGTGTGTTGGTTTGGAACCATCTACATTTGGTTGACAGATTTAGTGAAATGCACCATTTGATTGGTGTCTTCAATTTGGTTTTATTGCAGTTCTTATTTGCATTTCAATCATTCGTGTTCTGCGCTGTTCATATGATGTGTTTATGAAAAGTACTGAACTACTTATATAATCAAGTTTTCTAAACTAGTCGCCAGAAGCCCTTGGATTATAAAACATCTTTAACCAAAAGGTGAATGTTTGGATTTGGATTTACTTTCATTTCTGACTGCATTCATAACAAGGAATAACCTGAATGGTTCAAACTCATATCAATTGAATAGTAGCAGCAGTACATTGTTCATGAATTCAATTACGTCTTAATTCACTTTATATTAATGTGTGATTCTCCTGACCGTGTAAAGTAGAAATCTGTATATTCATATGACCTCTGAGACACACATTTTAAAGATTCAAATTTCTGAAAAAGGTCCACAATATACTAAAAAGACCACTGAACCCATTTTCAAATAAATACATGTTCAGTGGAAGTCATTTGGCTTGGAGTGCCTCAGATCAGTAAGAGATAAAGTAATGTGAGAAAACTAATAGGTTGTTAGTCTCTTAGTCTTTTCATGAAATTCATTGACAGTAAGAAAAACATGGAAGATGAATCCTTTGATGAGCTTATGCCATTGACCCAGGCACCTGCTTATCCTTTGTTTTGTTTCCTCTCCTGCTGCCTACGTCTTTAATTACCCTGTTGAATTCAAATGAGTTTCTGTTTGGATTGCAGGGCTTAGACAACAGACAGCCCCATGTTTCATCAGCCATTACCTGGAAGCCTTCTCTCACTCCATAATTGCTCTTATCGTATCATTTGCTTAAATTACAGATACATTGCTGCGAGAAAAATATTCACATTTCAAGTGTGGGATAAGACTTTGTCTGCTGAGGGAAGAAAGCAGAGTCATTTGCGTTTGGTGATAGTACACCTGATTGTTTCTCTGCCGTGCTGCTACTGTAGCTCCGCGGTTCGTTTAATGAACAGCTGGGGTCATGCGAGAGAAATGAGATGAGCTCTCGTCTTTTGTTTTCAGTCTGACCTGGCAACATTGGAGACGTTTCCTTTTTTTTCTCTCTACACTCTCTCTAAAATGATTTCCTAGGTTTATTCGACTTGGAGTCATTTATAATCAGGTGAGTGCTTCATCAGCACATAAAGGCGTGTTTGTGGCAGTAATGCTGTGTGCAGTGAAGCATCAGATGTACAGTGAGAGGAGATGAATCCTGCGACACGCGCCTCATTAAGCTGCCAGCAATTACTCCACCGTGACAGAGCAATCAGTGAGGCTGGGTCAACACACACACACACACACACACACACACACACACACACACACACACACACACACACACACACACACACACACACACACACACACACACACACACACACACACACACACACACACACAGGTAACATTACCCGAAGGAGAAGGGGTGAAACAAGGAAGTGGATTTAGAAGAAAAATGAAGCCAAATGAAAATGCCACTTGAAAAATTGCAATATTTCACACCTGAAAACACACGCTCACATTACACACACTCACACACAAAGAGAAACCCTGCTTTGTGAGCTTCACAGGTATCTTTGATGTTGCTACTTTCATCTCTCCCCCCTTGAATATTGAAAAGCCATTGAATGAGTTAAGAGTTGCCCTTTGCTTTTCAGAGTTCATTCAGCATCATTTACGACTAAACGCTATAACGGGTCCTGCCTTTAACATGGAGACAAAACCATTCTCTTTTAATCATTTGGTGCTAATAATGTGAAGTGTAATCAAGGTTTTGAGGCAGCTTTGTTGAAGACATAATTATTGATAATGAAAACACTCGGGTGTAACTTATTGAAAGCTGTCTATGACTTCCATTACTTCTTGTCTGCTTTTGCTACACTTGCCAACGACCAGCTTCCTTTGCTTTACACAGCGCTGCATTAATCTGTTTTTCTCAGATGTTGATCCCACAATATACAACTTTGATTTTCTCCACAGCAGCCATAGATCAGAGCCAAAGCAGCCATGTCTTTCTCTTTTTTTGATTCTTGTGCCGTTGATTTGAGGCTTACATTTATCTGGAGAGGTTTCGGCTGACAGCCCAGCCACACCAACACGGCCTGTCCTTCAGATAACAATCAATCCCACATTCATCTCCCTCATGCTGGCACCAGGTGAAGCAGTGCAAACACTGGAGGGGATTGACAGAGGGTTTTTTTTTTAAGTGTCACGTACTTATCTGCCAGCAGTGTGTCTTAATTCCTGCAAGCGATGCCATCGTTGCGGCTTAAATCAGAGGCCTAACCCGCGGCTTAGATCCGCTGTCGCCCACCCTCAGGAGACAGCATGATGTCTCAATAAACACAGGGGCCAAAATGTGTGTGTGTGTGTGCCAGTAGGGCATCTTTCATACTGCGCTTGAGAGGAATCCTGCTCCAGCAGTAATGAGGCAAATATCCCTTAATACAGCACTTAAGGCAGGTGTTGTCTGAGACTGTATTAGCCTGTAAGTGTCATTGAGTGGGTGTTTATCTGGATTAAGATAAAGTCATTATGTGCCACATATGGGTTTAGGGTAAAGGCTCTTACTGTATTATAGACAGAAGATTGTGAGACGCAGAGGCTGAGAGAATGTACTTGCACCTTTGCATCTTAGGAAATTGAATTTTAGGTTACAGCATTACAGATAATGATTTTTCATACAGTGAAACAGAGACTAATGTTGGTCCTTCTTTTTGCTTCTCCTTGTCCAGATCTTCATATTTGAAAACAATATCTTCTACAGATCAACAGTAGATAACCGAGCGATCCGCCTGGTTTCCACGGGTAAAGAGGGAGTCATCTTCAACGGCCTTACTGACTGGCTGTACGAGGGTAAGACAACGACAAACTCCATAAAACACTGCAAAGCCCATCATTTATATCACATCAATCTGTATATGTTGCAAACAATTGACTTTCATCAAAGTTTGAAGACACAGTAGGAATTTCTGTCACTTTCTGAATTGACAGAACTGAAGTTAGTCTAAAAGTCAATTTCATTGCCAAAGGTATAAGGACAGCTGAGCACCAAACTTGCATGTGATCATTGACCATGTCAAATCAAAACCCTGGGCATTATCTAGCTGTTGTATCACTCTTCACCCTGGTAAGTCTTTCATCAGGATTTTGGAGCCTGAAATTGACTTTTGGAAGTTGGATTTTCGATGATTTGTCCTGGCTTGTATTCGTTATTCCAAATAAGGTGGGGTGAACATTTGAAATCACAATATTATCTGAAATGTCGTTTTTAATACAGTAGCTGCATTACTATACTGATATATTATCTACCCTTTAAGGTGATATGGCATATATCTTAGCATTAGCATCAATCTGGAGTCGTTTCACAAGTCTATTATTAACTCTGTTGCTACCTTGTTTGTGGTTTTCTGAGGGAAATACCTGGTGCTTTAGATGTTGAATGCTCCACTGTGTTCACCAGTTGCTAGTTTTGCTGTTTGGTGCTTGATCTGAAAGGAAATTCAGAATAAGGGGATGATTTCATTGTGGATTTGTAAAGCAGCCATTTCGAATATACTGTACATGTGAGCAATAAATATATTTATTCCAGGCTTTTTAATGGATCAGCCTTTGGTCTGGTGTCCACCTGCATTAGCACATGTGCTGTATTTAGCCAACTACATTTAGAAACACATTTGGATTCAGTGTTGTGACACCTGCCCCCTACCCGGAGGCGTGTTGTGAGATTTCTGTTCATGATTCAATTTGAAAGAGCACAGCTGGCTAACGTTTGAGCGCCCCTCCCTCTCTAGACTTCCCGTAGCTTGTCTTTGTGTTCTGGCAGTTTTAATTAATTAATGTCTGCGGCGCTGCAATCTCAATAAGCAGATGTTCAAAAGCTGGCAAACTTGTAAATTAATATGAGACATTTTCTGATTACTGCATATGTGAAACTGACATTGCAATTACATACCACTCGAATATGGCTTTGTTCACAGTGCTCCACACACGCGCTGCCATGTTTCAGACGATTCCTCTCACTGTGCAGTCATTTATTAAGTGCATTGATTTCTTATTTAGTAAGTGAGGACTTATTTTTCTGGCATTATTGAAATTACTATAATAAGGATTGCAGTATAGTTGTATAATGTAATTGCAAAATGCCCATTATATTGAGGGAAACTCTGCATGAGCTGCTTCAGGGTCGATTCTAATAGGGTTTTTCATTAATGGGATTATTTCATTGTTGTGGGCACATAACGCAACATGAATGTTGTTGTGTTTCATGGATTCGTCAGGGTTTTAATAGACTGCCTCACAAAAGCCGAAATGACACAGGTCGGTGTAATGTTTTACAGATACTATATTCAGCTGAGATACAGTAGGTTTGTCTGAACAAGGGTTCAAGGTGAGGCTTCTTCTTCTCTCCGGTACCTCTGCAGTCAGAGTTCCTTAACCTTGACTGAAATAATGTACTTATTTATAACCCCTTGAGCTTAAAAAACTCTCAAATGAATTCCTTTAAATGTCCACATGATGGCATAAAACCTTTACATGTGACAGAAAGGGACTTTTATTCATGAATTAGCTTTTTGCTTGGTTCACTAAAGGAACAGTATACTATGCAGATTTTTTTTTTAACATTGAAAATAAAGTCATTTAAGGTTTGAACAATGCTGAATAGAATAAATATCAGTGAGTCTTTGATCAAATGTAATTAGTCAGTCAGTAGTCCGAGAAACGCATCAACGTGTGTGAGCTCTAACTTTGATCAAGAGATTAAAGACAGGGAAGTCATTCAAGTTGGGATGATTTTTTATGTTTCCTGTAGAGCAGTAGGTTGGGCGGATTGAGGAGATGAAAGAAATAGACTTTAATAAAAAAGCAACATGGTAGTTCATGTGTATACTTATTTATTTGGGTTTCAGTCTGTGTGTGTATGTCCCCAGCTGATGGATGTTAAGACAGCTGTGTGTTATCATGCACTGAAGACTGTGGCACCCAACACTGACAGTGTCCGAGGGCATGAAACACACAATCATGCCATGTTTTTGTGGCGCTGTAAATCTTGTTACAGGAAATATTCATATTTTTGTCTTTTATGGACTGCAGATTGAATCCTTTGGTTGAGGGAAATGTCCAAAAAGGCACTATCTTTGTAAGAGCAGCTTGCCAGGACTCTTATTAAGTGCTCTGACCTTCATCAAATAATGGATTAAATAAATGATATGTTGTGCTGGGTTACAGAGAACATTTTGTTGGCAAATGTTTTTCGGCACAGGCCTTGAATATCCTGATGCACTCAAACAAATAGTCACCCTTAGAGTAAGAATGGGGGGGGGGGGAAGGTGTAGAAATACATCCCTGAATAGTGTCCTTTTCGCCGTCTGACCTTGTTACAAAAGACTTCACCCTTTCCATTTGTAATATGGAAACAAATATAGCCTCAGACATCAATGATAACAAAATGATAAACTATATTGATGTTGAGCTGATCCTTTTTGCCAAGAAAAGACTGTTGTTTGAATCTCCACATGTAGGTACAGTAGTTTGTACTGTAAGTGCTTTTCATAGAGCACTACTGCCCCCTGCTGGATGAAAATCACTCATCAGGAAGCTGCTGAAACGTATTAGGGAGGCTCAAGAGCAAAATAATATGATTTCTCTTGTGAGGAGAGAACCCCTATTTTTATCTTGGTTTCTTCCTTAATGTCAGCTCCCTCAGATAAGTTCTCAATTAATCAAAAGCCCACTCACAAGGAACATTTCACAGCAGTTTTCCACAACCGACAACAATACCGTAAAAAATGGCAATGCAAAAAAAAAAAAACATGTTTTCCCACACATGGTAAACAACGGAATTTGCTTTGCTCCAAAATAAGAAAGAAAATGTAATCCTCAACTATTGTAATATAATATTCACTTTCAGTAGGAGATTCCCAGGCATCAACTCTACATTAAAATGGTGTAGATACTGCAATGCACATTTCTGGTTTCTGTAGTTGAAACTGTCGAAAATGTAATATGAGTAATTGGTTTATTCTTCCTCAGCCATAACCATAAATCATCTGTGATGTTTGTATAATTCAACTAGTGTCTGTTTAAACGGTATCCTATTGGAAATGTCTTAATCAATGTCAGAATGTAAGGAGTTCATAAACACCAGCTAACAGTATAGCCGCTAATTGAGCTGCACACACTTTATATGTAAAACATTGCATTTTATTAAGATGTAGTTTTGCCTTTGTTGTTGTTTGTTGACCGTTGTGTCACGACGTTAAAATAATTAAATTGATTTTTACATGGATTCGACTTTTCAGCCTGGTCTTATGAAAACATCCTTTGATTTTGTTCAACATCTCACTTGTTTTATGGATCTCATTTTAATGGATGATTCATAGTGTGTGTCTGATCTGGTTGTTGTGTGTTACAGAGGAGATCCTGCAGACACACATCGCCCACTGGTGGTCTCCAGACGGGCTGCGCCTGGCCTACATGACCATCAACGACACGCTGGTGCCAAAGATGGAGGTTCCCTTCTTCACAGGATCTCCGTACCCCGCCACCTTGGAGTATCACTACCCCAAGGCAAGTCTACAGCCTCCATCTCACACTCATTCTTAGTCTGAGCAAATTCAAAGCAGCTATAAACAATGTCAGCTGCTCAATTAACCCTCCTATTGTCTTTGTTTCCGCCCCCCCTTACAAAGAATAGACACTGAACATGTATTGCGTGTGCCAGGTGTGATCCATGTGGGGGGATGGGCACATAAGAGCGGGAAATGTGTCAAATTGTTCTGTGTGTGTGTGTGTCTGTGTGAGTGCCAGGTGTGATTCACATGGGGGGGTTGTGTGTGTGTGTGTGTGTGGTGTGTGTGTGTGTGTGTGTGTGTGTGTGTGTGTGTGTGTGTGTGTGTGTGTGTGTGTGTGTGTGTGTGTGTGTGTGTGTGTGTGTGTGTGTGTGTGTGTGTGTGTGTGTGTGTGTGTGTGTTTTATCTGTTCCGGATGGTTACTAATTCCTTTTCTTTATGGCGGTCATTTTTGACCGGGAACACAATACAAAGTTGACTAAATCATCCAAAATTCAATGAAAGTGGTGATCAGCAATTGTATATGTTCAAATGTCTACTGTGAAGGATATCATAAAGCCTTAATGCAATCAAATCTAATACAAAAAAGTTATGATTGATGAAAGTAGTACATCGGTCAGATTTGACCCGAAGACAACAGGAGGGTTAAAAAGATTTTCACTTGTGATTTTTATGGGTTTCTTAAAAATGTCACTAAGGGCAGTGAAATGCATTTTTCTGAGAAAAGAAATCTAAAAAAAGACATATAAATGTAAATGAAATAAAATAAACAAAGACACAAAATAACTCCATAAATAGCAGGTGCCAATAAAATAAGAAAAACACAACAGCTACATAATATTAACTACCGGTAATATAGCAAGTGTGTTTTAACAGCTGACAGAGTTTTTTAAGACATCACTGGTTGATTGTATTTGAGAGAAGATGGTGGTCACCTCTGGGACCTGAAAGTATGCTAATAACTACACTAGACCCTCACTGAGGCTGATGGATGTGTAAATTAGCCACTGTATGCTAACAACATCACCATATCAATAGACAAGGTGAAGATACGTGTGCACAACTGGTTTCCGTTGTCAGAAGCCAAAAATCACTAATTGGAGGTTTAAATATTCACGTCCTTGTTGTTATGCATAAGGGGCTTTGATGGATAGAACTTGTTTAACTCTGAAGATGACAGAAAGACAATTCATCACTGTCTTGAAGTGAAATCCAGTCTGACCTATCTGGTTTCCTGTTGGCCTGCAGGCTGGAGAGGAGAACCCTGTGGTGCACCTGTCAGTGGTGAGCCTCAACGGGCCCCTGCACACCGTGGTGATGAAGAAACCTGATGACCCCCGCATCGGGTAAGTGACAGCACAACCCTGCCTCATTGTGTCTGAGGTAACAAGCTCCAAAAATAGCCCTGGAGCATTTTCCTAAAGGGGGTCGTTCATCATCAAACTCCAAACATAAGTGTTCCTTTACCTGTAGGGCTATTTAGCGTCTCTGGCATATAAGGGAACTATGTGGCTGTTATTATGGAGAGAAGTTATCATGATTTATTTATTTGTACTTATTGTTTGTTATTTAATTAGCTATGTTTGGGTCCGTTAATAGAATGAGCTGTCAATCGAACTGTGTTATCAATACTATGTGACTCCCAATACATAATTAAAAGAAAGTAGACGGACCTCTACGGTCGTTATTTCTGCCACTTACACCAAAACAATCTAGATTGATAAATAGCAATACAGGTTATTGTGCAAAATCCACTTTTTCATGTCTTTTACACATAAACATGTGTCCCCTCTGTGTGAAGAGATTCTGAAAGTTTCAGGAAAAAAGATTTGTTCACTTTTTGTCCTGATCCATTTATATAAAAACCTCTCTGAAAATGAGCTGATCAGATTTTGGCCACTTTATGATGTCATAACGATTTTTTGGCTTGTGTAACCATTAGCCAATAACCAACCAAGGTAACCCCCCCACACCTTATCACCTGAATTTCTTCCAAATATCTCTCAGAGGGGCGTGGGGAGTGGCTCCTTATTTTCATCTAAAGTAAAAGACAGAGAATCAGCACTTTTGAAACAGGGCTGAAACAGAGGGGATTATGGGATGCTACAATGCATGATCTGTTTGGTATTTCGAGCCAAACACTTCAGAGACATGTTTGTATATATATGAGACCTATAATATATTGATGAAAAACAGTATAATAGAGGACCTTTAGGGAAGTTAAGACAGAGGTCGTCAGCGCCGGACATGCATTCTCACTTTCTTGTTTTCCAGGAGGGAGTATTATATCACCATGGTGAAATGGGCCACCAGCACTAAACTGGCTGTCAACTGGCTGAACAGAGGCCAGAACAACTCCATCCTGACTCTGTGTGAGGCTACCACTGGAGTCTGCATTAAGGTGAAGCCTCCTGCAAAGTGTCCTTGACAAAGTGTGAAATCAGCCGACTAACAACCGGGTGTAGTTAGAGCCTGACATGGCTTATTCCTTTGTACCCAGACATCTATTGTTGCCCAAAAACACCTACATGAGAAACAACACTGCTCTGTTTGACATGATCCTTTCATTACGGTGAACATGCGGTTTATTTCGAGTCAATCCCATAAACACCGTTCTGCTGCTGCTAGTGCACCGAAATCACAGAAAATAATCCCTAACAAATTAGCTTTTTAGTCCTTCTTTGTTAACGTTTTCTAAAGATTACTGTTCCCAGCGCTTTTTGATTTCACTTTTCTTTTTTTAACTGAAGTGTAAATTCAGTTTATTAATATAAATTGTTCAAAATGTTTGGAATTTACTTCTATCAGCTTAATGTTGAAAATACTCTTTCTTCGTAGTGTATTTCTCAAAATATCATACTTTTTATTCATCTTATCTTCCATAAGAGGGAACATGCTTAAGGCTGAGCACATTAACATAACAATATCTGTAATTCGTATGTAATTTGGATTCAGAAAAATGTCATCATCTTCAATTATACTCTTGTTGTTATGTTTGTTATACAGAAACATGAGGATGAGAGTGAGAGCTGGTTGCACAGACAGGTGCGTGATGGAAACATTGTTCCTCTGTTGTCATGTGTATTTTTTACTTTGTGTGTCTGAGCTTGTAAACAGGAAATGCAAAAGCCCTGCAGGCATGTTTTGGGACACATACAGATTTTTCCACCCTCTCTGCAGAATGAAGCTCCGCTCTTCTCCCACGACGGACACAAATTCTTCTTCACCAGAGCGATCCCTCAGGGTGGGAGAGGAAAGTTCTTCCACATCTCTATGTCCACCACTATGGTAATGAAAGACCCTTATAATATCTTTGTTGAAGGTTTGGTACAGTGTGTTTAACGGCCCTTCACTGTCTTCTAGTCGAACACGAGCACAGACATCCTTCAGTCTCTGACCTCCGGAGACTGGGACGTCACCAGCATCCTGGCCTACAATCATGAAAGGAACCTCATGTAAGACATTCAGATGTTTTTTTAAACAGCCGGTATCGTGTCGTGGGTTTTTCTGTTATTTGATGCTCATGTTCTGATGTTTTCCAGATACTTCCTAAGCACAGAAGACGACCCCAAACGACGGCACTTGTACAGGTCAGATTTTCTTACAGCTTGTGAGTGCTTCTGTGTTTTTCTCAAAGTGCTGTTAATGATACTCACTCAGTGCCATCCCGCAGCGCCGACACGATCCCTCCGTTCAACCGCTGCTGCCTGTCCTGTGAGTCCAATTGCGGCTATGTGGACGTTTCATTCAGCCACAACATGCGGTACTTCTTACTCAACTGTAAAGGTGAGCATCCTTGACCTTGAATCTCTTGAGTGAAGACTATTTTTATAACTGCAGTCTGAGAGCCTTTTACACTGCAGCACTCCTGAGAATGAGAGTCTGCAGAGAGCCATACTAAAAAGCGTAACTGAATCAGGGCTCCTCGTCAGGTTGAGAGCTTGTATCGAACTAGACATTAGCAGATAAAGCCAAACCACTGCGGGATCCCTCTGATCAGCCACAGAAATAAATGTATTGTCTGACTGCATGCCAACAGTCATGCTGACAGTGTCCTTCTTACTATTTGTCATATGAAAATAGACTTTGTTATTGTTTTCTAGATATTCCTTGGAGGTACACTGTCATTATTTTAGGTTTTGTGCCCTTGTGGCTTCATCGCAGGGGCACAACATTACCATTTTTATGGAAGCTGATTTGTTCAGGAGGCTAACTCCAAAAAGTGCCAGTGGCTTTCTTTATTAATTGGATCTTTGGAGAGCAGCTCCATTGTGAAATAATAAGCCATTTCCTCGTGGGATGGGAGTAGATTATTAACTGTTGAAGCTGTTTAACATGAGACAGGGTTTCCGATGCAGGGATTGCAGAAAAGGATTGGGTTTCAGAGGCTTGATTACTTTTGTGTCATTTGAGCCTTTTGTTGCATGCAAATGAACTTCCATTACTGTATTCCTGCTAACGGTTTTTCCCTGAATTGCTCCATGTAGGTCCAAATATACCCAGTGTGGCTATCTATAGGACTGAGGATAAACAGAGTGAGTGTTGTCCTCCAACTTCACCACGCACAGCAAACTCTATTGAATAGTATGATTGTTTTGAGTGATGAAAAGATTTGTGAAAGAGAGATTTTAACAAAGGACATTTTTTAATCCGCTTAACTGCAGAGGTGTTTGACGTGGAGATGAACGAGAGAGTAAACGACACGTACAACAACATGCAGATGCCCATAGTGGATAACAAGACCATCACCATAGACGACTACAGTACGTACTCATGTTGAATTAGCGAATACACGATTTACTATGTGTACATCCTGATGAAATAACAGCCACTCATCTTGTATTATAAGATCCGGTAACCGTGTCTTATCTGCTGTAGCTCTGACGATGCAGATCCTGAAGCCAGCTGGATTTGTAGAAACAGCCCATTACCCCTTACTGCTGCTCGTGTGAGTATGAGTACGCCTGCTGTTTTTATCACAAAGACATATAAGTGAAACAGTGCGAAGAATATTATCAACACTCGAGTGCATCAACTATGATTTACTTTCATTATTGTTCAAAAAGGATACTGCAGCAGTTTCATATTTCACACATTTAAATGTAGGGGAATCACAGGAGTCTTATTAAGGACAGAATAATTTAAAAAATGTGGATATCCAGAGTTTGGGTCAATATCTAAAAAATCTGGATCATACATTTCCCATAATGCTTTAGAGAGTCTGCCTGCATCTATCAAGCTACTGCCCCCAGTTTGAAATGCAGCCTTTCTGTCAATTGTCTTTGAGTCTTTGATCTATGAATCCTTGAAAAAGGTTGCAATTATTCAGGCCTCAAAGTGAAGTTGTCAAACTGTTTATCAAGTTATTCATTTTAAATTCATTTTTTTAAGACAGAAAAACAGCAGACATTGTTTGGTTTGTGCAGCTTAATATTTGACCTAAAAATGACCTAAATGACTAATCAGTCACTAAAATATTTGCCAATAACATGTCATACAACAACTAACACCACAAGACAGTGTCATAATATAACATCATTTAATATGAACTAGTATATTCCTGGATTAGATTCTTCATTGTGAACATTGTAATACTTCATAGTTTGATAAGGTTGTGGTGAATTGGATTCTGTTACTCAGCAAGCTAATTCTTGTATTTCCTTGTAGCTGTTCCCTTTAAACCTATTTGTACAATTTTTTGTTAAACAGTACATAGTCACCTTGCTAACTGAATCATGTTGCTAACTGAAGGTCCACCATGTGCTCATTAAATGCTAACATTAGCCAAAAATGTCCACCTTGTCAGCACCCTGTATATTTTTGCTGTTTGCATGTACATTGTCTGCTTGCAGTTAATTTATAAAAAAGTGTGGGAGCTTGACCAACATGCATTTCTAACAGCATAACATCTACTTAACACAATGAATATCAAGTTTAATGGAAAATCTCAGCTTATTTCTTTTGGAAATGGGGGAGTCTCAAATGCACTTTATGGTGATATTGACTAAACCCTCTATTTGTCCGGTTATGAAACCAAGAATACTAAGATCAAATGTGTGTATTCCTTTTAAGAAGACTTACATCTAATGTTAATCTCTGAGAAATGTGTCGTACATTAAAATGGCTGACCTGGCTGTGGTGTTGGCACAGGGACGGGACCCCCGGCGGGCAGATGGTGTCGGAGCAGTTCCGGGTGGACTGGGCCTCGGTCCTGGTCAGCAGCTTCAGCACCATCGTCATCCGCTTCGACGGCCACGGCAGCGGCTTCCAGGGAACCAACCTGCTGCACAAAGTCCGGAGGAAACTGGGAATACTGGAGGAGAAAGACCAGATGGAGGCACTGAGGTTCAGACTCCTGCTTTCACTGCAAGCATGACGGAAAACAAAGCCTTTTTGATTCCCGAAACATTGCAAGTTTGACCAGTTTTCTTTCACTTTTAGGTTCATATCCAAAGAGACTTATATTGATAAGAGTCGAATGGGAGTTTATGGAAAGGTAAACGCACCACAAAGAGGCTCCTGAGATGAGGCTCACACCATTATATTATTATCATCCTAACGTATTAATTAATTAGACTTCCTGATTTGTTTCTCCCCTACCTTTGTTCAGGCTTATGGAGGATATTTGGCCACGTTGCTTCTGAGCTCTGAGGAGTTTACCGAACTTAAGTGCGGAGCAGCAGTCTCCCCCATCACAGATTTCGAGCTTTATGGTATAACTTCCACGTATTTTTCTACCATGAATATGTTAAAGAGATGCTGAAGGAATACAAACATTTCCTGACTCTGTTTTTCCTCTTTCTTAAATTGCAGCATCTGCATTCTCAGAACGATACCTCGGCTCAAAGACAGATTCCCAAGTATATACGGTAAGGTTTTATTGTTTCCTTCCCTTAACCAAATCCCACGCCCAAGATGTTAAGCTATGAAGTATTAAGGGTCATTATTGAGATGGTTTGATATATATGGTGGGTTTTTCTGTCTTTCCTTCAGAAAGCGAGTTTAGCACACAAAGCGGGCCTGTTCCTCCAGAAGCAGTACTTGATCATTCACCCAACTGCTGACGGTAACTATAACATTTCTCAATAATGCTGTTAGTGAAACTGTTTAACTGTGATCACCACCTAATGTGTTGTCACCTCCCTTCTCTACCTCCACAGAAAAGGTTCACTTCCAGCACACAGCCAAGTTTATCAATCATTTAATCAGCAAGAAGGCCAATTACACTCTACAGGTGAGTTTGTGAGAACCACTGCTAGATTCATCATGTGGTTGAACATAGCACTGCACACAGAGCAAGGATACAGGGTGTTGTCACAATAGCCATGATACAACATACAATGCTATGACCTTTTTATGATAAACTATACAAGGACTTTTTTTTTAGGCATTTCTCCCCTGATAAGATAGAAAAATTGACTGGAAAGAGCGAGGGAGGGGTTGCGACATGCGGCGAAGCTGCCTTTTGCGCTACACAGGCGCCATCATATGTCTTTTTAATGCATACTTCGGTTTGGCTTTTTTATGGGAAACTTTAAAGACCATTTTTATTGCATTTATACTATTATAAAAAAATAACATTTTATGACATGTCTAATGAAATGTGTACGCTCCTTATATTTTTGTTACGACATATTTACATAATATAATTTTTAAGACATACAATAGTATTAACTATGAGTATGTTTATTATATACTTTAGTAAGGCTTTTTATGACAAAATAATGGTAGATTCTAACTCTTTTTTGGAGAAATAATGGCAAACTACACTAGGTAGGTAAGGTATACTACGACTCATTTTTTGAATTTTTACACACATAGTTAAGCAAGACTTTTTGGAATGTCTAATAAAAGAAAAAAAATTCTATAACTATATAAATCCATTCCTGGGTATTTATTTCCAGATCTACCCAGATGAGGGCCACTTTCTCCACAGTGACGGCACGCAGCAGCACCTGAGCCAGGCCCTGGTCAACTTCTTCGAGGTGTGCTTCCGGGTGCCGGAGACACTGACGGAGGAACCGGAGGAGGAGGAGGAGGAGGAGGACGACAGTTAATCTCCTCTGAGCAGCCCCTGGCCAGCTTTACAGCACAACATGTAAGAGATTGTTCAAACCCAGCCAACCCACACCGCCTGCTGTCCAATCAGATTTAAGCTCTACTCTGAAGCACCTGCATGTGCTAAAGGGGCCTCGACCTACAACCCCTCCCCCCCTCGCGATCTCAGATGTGAATCGTCTCTGCTTTGGAATATATGGACTAGTTCGCCCTCTAGTGGACAAATGGAGGATCAACATAACGTCCATTGAGCAATGTGTGACAAGGCACATTCATCGGGCGCTGCACAAAATATCCCCTGTGAAGATCAACTGAGATTTAACTTTGAAAGACTACCAGTTTCATTAACCTTGCCAACCAACTTACTGATTATTGTGTTCATGAGTATAATTACTTGTTTCTCCGAATTTCTCTGTTCAGTGTCGTGTCTTTAAATGGATGTCTGGCTGCATCAGTCCGTAGTTGCTTTACCAAACGAGGGCAATGTTTTAACTCCAAAAAAAGTGTCTATACAGAAACGGTTACGACATCATATTTTCCCTCTTCCTATTCCTGAATTGAACTCTTGTTCTTTTAGTCGCTGTGCCTTACTGTGGGTGAAATGGTCATGTTGGGAGCCCACATGATACTGGAGTAAATATGGATAGGCCTTGTCTGAACTGCAGACTCACAACTAGATGATTTAATGTTCCTCAAATAATAGCCAGTTATAAGTGAGGGACGTTTAAATCACAAAGCATGGCACAGTTTTATCTTAAAACATGGAGAGTACAAAATAATTGTATGTCTACTTGAAAGATGGTATTATACTGACAGAAATGTAAAGAGTATTTAGTTTGCAAACATAGTTCTTGATATTTACCTTCCAAACTGGCATACTGGTGAGTTAACTATATGCTGAATTTTCATTATTATGAGAGTTACTTTGACTTGTGTGTGAATTGGCTTCAGTCTCTCCCCTTGTCACTTCTGTTAGTATCGTCAGTGGTTTCTAGTCAGCTGATGTACAAAGTGTATAAATCTTTTATTGTTTAAGTCTTTGTTGTATGTGCAACTTGTATATAAAGCGTTTTGAAATGTATCTTGGAATAGCTTTCTTTGTCACTTTGTATTATATTAGTATGCAAGCCAACAACATACGACTGCTGCAACATTGTATTGTTTAAAAAAAAATCCTAAACCAGTATATATACCTTGCTGTGTGTAGTAGAAGTACTGCAGTAACATTGAGGGCTTAAAGGGTTTCCTGTGCAAGCAAAGGGCCATTTCACTTTAACATAACTTTTATACCTATAAAAAAAAGATTCTCTTTCTTTTCATCTTGATCCACCTGTACAAAAACCTGTCTGAAAATCAGTTCAGATGTCGGCCACTTGATGTCATGTTTTTTGGGGTTTTGCAACCATTAGCCAATAAGGCAACCCCCGCCCACCTTATCACCTGAATCTCCTCCTACAGTACCATTGTTGTTGTTTTTAAACCAAACACTTTGCAGAGGGGCGTGGCAGTTCAATTGTATTTAAAGCTACAGACACAAAATCAGCAATTTTGAAACAGGGCTGAAACAGAGGGGTTTATGGGATGCTAAAATGGGTGATCTGTTTGGTATTTCAGCCAAACACTTCAGAGACATGTTTTGAATATATCCGAGACCTATAATATGTTGTTGAAAAATAGTAGAATAGGGGAACTTTAAAATGTTCAAATACATGTTATGAAGTTGCTCAAATCCAATTGGTACTTTCTGAGATAAGAAATGTAACCAAGTTGCACAAACAAGATGGATGAAATCAAGAAATATTGTGTCGTCCAGACTGCCAATAATGATCAAGCAGGAACAGGATTATACTTCTGTCCCATCAGCTAAGTGACTAAAATCATTTTTGACTGCCTAAAAGTATAACTGCTTTTAAACATTGATTAAGAGTTTACTAAATGTTGCTTTTTGTCAATGACAATATCAAGTAATCTTGGTAGATTTGTTTGGCCTTTCTTTGCTGACAATACTCTTGTGATTATTTTCTACAATGCGACGGGAAAAAAACCATTCATGACCATCTGCCATTGACAAAATTTATTTCCAGTGTTTCAGGAGTCTGTCCGAACCCCTCTAACAATCAGAGGACACAGCGGTGGTACAAACAGTCCAGCACGATGAAGAGTTTCCTCATGCCTCTTTCCTCAGAGAAGTACCAAACTGCCCACAACACCCAAACAGGCCTCATGAGCATCATCATCATCATCATCATCATCATCATCATCATCATCATCATCATCGTCATCATCGTCATCGTCATCGTCTCACAATACTCAACTTAAATCCTGCAATCTGATGGAAATGAAAAGTAAAGCAGCTAAAACATGGCATGTATATGTACATTTAAGTTACTTATTTTACAAGGAATATTTAAAATTCAAGTTCTGTTAAAATCAAAATATGAAAAACAGGAGAGAAAAAAGAAGTATAAAACATGTTAAGACCAGAGTGGAATGCCTAAGTAATGGAAGATCGGCATTTTGTTACATAACCCTTAGAATGACAGAGTCGACAGTAAAAATGTCATTCACAGTAACATCTTCGTGTATCTCAACAAAGACAGTATGGCACCCTTAACAATTCATTGTGAGGCACTTCCTATTATGAAAAAAAACATGATTTTCTGATTTGAATACCCATTTTCTTTTAACTTTTTTTTTCCACTTTGCAATCTACCGCCAGCCACTGACAGATGTGTGAAGCACGAACACTAAAAACACAGCATTACAGTTGCATCAGAGGGATGTTGTTCACTGCTCTTTAAACCACATAACTGGGATAATTAATAAAAACTCTATTTTCCGTTTGCATAAGTCCAGTGTCTCCTCGTCACCTCTGTACCTTTGGAGAGCCCCCTTTGACAGCGGAGTGCTTGTGGGCAGTCCCACACACGGGCTGTACCAAAAACACTATTCAAGTACACAGAAAAATAGGAATATGTACGCTTTAGAGTGAAACACAAGCATCTAAAGCTTTTAGTCAGTATTACAGCAAGCATGTCTGTACATTCTTCATTTGGTTACTGAGAGACTCTCTGACTCTGAACATCATAACTTTCTTTACACAAAAATAGTTCCTCTGCAATACTAAAAACTCTTTTCACTACTCCCTATTCATTCTAAAAGTCAGTTTATCCTTAAAGCCACTTAGCTAAACCTTTAAACAATCTTAACTCGTGTCACTGTTCACACTTCCTTGCACAAACTTCACAGGCTCATTGTTTCACGAGCGACAGGTCCTCTCGATCTTCAGCATAACAGGGATTTGTTTTAGGAGAAGATGTCCCCCTGCTGCGCCATCCCAAAGTCATTTGTCAAACAAAAAGAAATAATAAAAGAGAAATTAAAAAATGTATAAACACCATTTTGTTTCATGCCTTATACATGAGCAAGGTCAACGATCCCTGTGTGCAGTAATTCTCTTTTCACAAGCACACACAACAGTTAAAGACACACACATACACACACTCTGGACAATTTTGTACAACATGCTCATTCACTAACGTTGGTCACACAACAGACATTATACTGTCAGACTCCCAAGTACGTACACATCTCACAGACGGAGAACAAACACAGTCACACGCGTCCAACACTCATCACAGGTACTGATAGAAACGTGAATGGACCACCTGGGAATTTGTGAGTTTATGTGGGTGAGCGGTGGCCGAGAGGCTCAGATTTTTACTCAGGGGGGCGTCCCCCCCGTTCAACACCTCAGCGGGACGAGGTGGGAGTTCAGAGGAGGACGAGGCTCCGAGGTTCTGGGAGTTTGCTCGGCACAGCCCCCCCTGCTGGTCGGAGAGGTCCAGGCTGACCTCGGGGTTGCTGGTGCGGTGGCGCTCACGCACAATCCAGTCTCTAATGGAGAAGTCCTGAGAGCTGCACTTCGGCTTCAGCTGGTCCACAGCCGACAGCTCCGAGCGAGAGCCGATGCCAACGTGCGACCAGCCTCCCAAAACTGACAGCTCTGCAAAGTCCCTCTGACCGCCCATAGTGTGTCTGCGCCGGATGTTCTTCTTCTTGCTGCGGCCCTCGGGGGAGCGGCTCCTCACGCTGCCCACGCCGAACATGTCGTCCACAGACATCCTCAGACGCACCTTCAGCCTGTCGGTGATCTTCAGCTTCCACGCCGGCTCTGCCTTGTCTAACTCGCTCCGAGACGAGGAGCTGAGGCTGCCTGTGGAGCGCCCGTTGCCCGACCCCATGACACACGACAGCCTGTTGGAATCTTTATCGCTCCAGGCTCCGTCCAGTGACGACTCGCTGACGGTTTTCTGTTGAGCGGCTTTCTTTCTGGAGAGCGTGTCGCACTCGATGAGTCTGTGGGAGGGGAGCGGCCGAGGAGCTTCCTGCTGCTCTCGGTGATCCGATCTTCCGACCGTGAACACCGACAGGTCGCTCTCGCTGTCCGTCTCCATGGGTCGCCCCTCGCTGATGAGCTCGCTCCTCTCGTCGTCGGCGTCGTCGTCTCCGCCCCGGCTTTCCGCCACGGACTGCACCTCTGGGCTGAGGGTGCTGAGCTCAGCTCCCGTCAGGAAGGTCATGGAGGAGGTGGTGGAGTAATCCGAGGTGATGGAGCAGACCTCCGCTCCGAGCCCGCTGGGGCACGCCTCCGGACCCGGAGCGGCCGCCCTCGCTCGCCTCATCCTGGGCACCGAGGCCTGCGAGCTGGTGCTGTTCATCGTACCGAGGTCGGACACCGTGTCGTCGTAGTTGGAAGGCGCGTCCGACAGAGAGGACTGGTGAGCCATCGGCATGCGATAGCTGAGGTTCGGGGAATGGGGGGGTGAGGCGTAGGGGGAGCTGATGTGAAGGGTAGAGGAGACGTGTTTTGGAGGCAGCGAGGGAGAGGGCTGCGATATCCGGCGGCTAGAAGGAGATTCTTTCACGTTGCTTTTGTCAAGCTGTTCCTCTGAGCTGCTCCTGAGCTTTTCCTTCTCACTGGCTTCATCCGTCTCCCCCTCCTCCTCCCCCGTCCGGCTGCCAGGGGACCAGAGAGGCTGCTGCTGGCTCTCCCCCGGGAGCTCCTTCTTGGGGAACACAGCGTCCAGGTCGTCGTCTGAACTGCTGAATTGAGCTTTGTCCTTGGGCTTCTTTCGTTTGCGGCTGGCGAAGAAGGAGGAGCGCAGCATCTCTTTGCTACACTGATCCTTCCCTGACCCCCACAAGCCCTGCTGGTACAGAAACAACACTCATCAAAACGACGGACAAAAAACAGCAAAGAAAACGAATTAAAAAGACTTAAGTTAAACAAAACAAAAGAGGAAAAGGACATTACCTTTGATTTAGAGGAGTCACTACATGCTGAATCTGTATCAAAGAGAAAAGAGCCATTAGTCAAAGTCTGCCGACCATCTGAATTACTTAAACAGTGAACATGATAAAGAAAGAGGCGAGGCAGATTGAAAGTTTGTACGGAGTGAAACTGACGGACACGATGAGAACAATGAGAGCAGCTGAATGAAAGCAGACGACACATTTTCGGCTCACAAGAGGACGAGAAACCACACTAAGCATTATGTGAATAAGTGGATGAAGCAGCAGAAGAGGCCTGAGATGATGGATGAGAGAAGAAGTGAAAGTCCAGCAGTAAACGAAGACACAAAAAGCAGCTCATGCTCATGTTTCGATGGAACGACGGCACATCACGGACAAACACGTCAGTCACAGAGCATCACATGTAGCCGCTACAACCAGCTGTAGCCATTCTTTCCCAACTCAAGACATCACAGAGGAGGGGGGGTGATGAGATAGCTCAAACGTTAGGGGCCTGAGCTGAACAGTCACAGTGAGTGTATGTCGTGGTCGATATAGCTGGCGCAGGCAAGCCTCAGTATAATGAAAAGATTGCTCTTACTCCAAGCTAGATAAACTCCTGCGAGGCCTTCTAAAATGTAACCTGTCATACTCAACAACATAAAAAAAAAGGAAATCAAAGAGTTCACAAAACTCTCACTCTGCCAAAAGAAGAAAACACGCAAACTGCAGCTAACAAAGATAAGCAGATTAATAGCCCTCTTCCACCAAACTAGTCACAGGAAC